GAAGTTTATCAAATTAATCAAAATTATACACTTACTTTCAAAAACACTTCAATTATTAGCAGGATTTTTTTAAAATGTTCCTTGTGCATACTTCACACTGTTTATGCATGACATCCTGTTCAAAGATCTGAATCAACAATTTTTTTACATGCACCCTTACTTATCACATAACCTCAATGTTATGGCAAACATCAAGAGCTACAGCAGTCTTTTTGCTAGAACTGGCATTAGATTGCTTCTCTTCTTATCCATCGACCTTTTTATGTACATACTTCCGGAGAAACAAAAGGAGGATTAAAAAAATGAAATCAAAAGCAAAACTTGACTTTTCAAAGCTGAAAAGTAAAATCTGGCATGAAACAAAAATTATCAGTTTTTCCCCTACTACCAGCTTAAATGCTGATTACAAAGTTTTACCATCAACATACAGCTTAGTTTATGTCTTTGTGTGTTCACATATATGAAAGTCCTGCAAGTCTGAATGTCTCCCCAAATGGTTTAAATACCGCATCTGCTTTGCTCACCTACAATGCTGCCTGTGCAGTGCTACAATTCTGTAACAGAACAGTCCTCCACAGATAACAGCATCCTTTTCCTCTATCAATAGCTAGTCACAGTTCCTAATTTTGCTACCCAAATATTACAGTGACGTGAAGATGTTCACTTCTCACTTGAAAATTTCCAAAGTGTTTTAGAAGTATCTCTTTCTCCTAGTACCCACATAAAACTGGGCAACTGTGGCCCCACAAAATTGCAGGTAAAACCTCACTCCATGAAGCCCTAGGTGCAGGTCCTAGATTTTCCTATACTGAAGGGAAGAAGCAAAGAACTACCAGCTAGTTGCATAATTCCTGCAGGAATCAAAAGGTAACCATGTTTATATATGGCAAAGGACATGCAAGAAGCAGCAGGACTGTCATCTTACCAAAAAGCAGTCCTTTCCAAATACTGGAACTGCCCACTGGCACAAAAAATGGATGTCACACTGGTGGAGGCCCCATGAAATCTGGATCTCACTGTACCAGCTGTTCAGAAACACATGCTGATGACTAGTCCACTGTAAGGTATCACAAGTTGTAACAAACAACACATTTCAAAGGGATCAGAAATTCCTCTATCGACTTCTTAAAATTATGGAAAAAAATATTTCTCTAGATTTCTTTTGGTTAACCCCATTTAATTTCTCTAAACGTCTGTAAATAAGTTACTACAAAATGTTCACATACTGCAATTCTTGGTTCTTTAACAACAATGGTAACATTGGCAGTGGTTGTACAATAGTCAGACATTCTCAGCCAAAATAAACACCATTCCAAGATGAAGTGTGCCGCTATTACTTAGTTCAGTGGCAGCTAAAATTTAACATGAAATGTGATGTGGCCACTTGGCTTTATGTTCCAGTTAATTTTAACCGCCCGCAGTAAAGAATTCTGCAAGTATAACTCTTACCACAAATTGCTAAGAGGCTAATAATACGCATAGTTTAAAAAAAAAAAGAATTCAATTTCAAGACCACACACACTTAGGTTACCATAAAATCACTTACTAAAAAATCAGTTGAAAGCACCCCTGTAATGATAAGTTATGGCCCGAATAAAGAGGTAGGATCTTGAATAATTCTGCATAAAATGCAACACATAGTGGATCAGCTCTCTCAAATTAATGTATGGTGAATTTTAGTTTTGACATAACGTTCCATAAATCCGTATGGACTGGACTATTAACATCAAGTTAGTATAAGCAAAAATCTGATTTAAAAGAACAGTATTATTTTTAAAAAAAAAATTACATTATGATGAAAAGTAATTCTCCTGAGCTTTATTTCAATTCAATGCTATACAAAAGTAGCTTGAGTATTAAAAATAGTTTTTATAGCAGTCAAAAGCTCTCTATATATGCTCGATTTTAACTTACCAAACTTTTGAAAAAAGTTGAAGTTCTAATTTCACAACAGAAACACTTATTACATGTGTCATTTTGTAGACCTACACAGTTGCTTTTACTACCTTTACAGAATTTCGCACATCAGTTTGGTTCTAAATAGACCTCTTTGCCATAATTTGTTTTACACTAAAATTCTCTATGCTGCCTTAAAAAAAAAAAAAATTAAATGAGCCAGAACAAACAACAGAAGGAAACAATGTATTGTTTATTCTTACTATGAAAGGAAAAAAGGGGGAAAAGAACGACCAAGTATTACCCAATATCATTGCATTATGTCAAATATAAGAGTACATTTTATTTTGTCCTATTTGCAACATGGAGATACACTTCACTGTTTGCAAATAACATGGCCAAATCAAGAAAAACTGGTCCAGAATTGAGTAGCAATTCTGTTCACCACTTCCCAGGGATATTGTCCAAGCTAGTGAAGACCATATGTCCCAAGCGAAGGATGCCCCTTTTGCAGCATTCCTGTTTTTCACAGATCTCTCATATAACATTGTAGTATTACCATAACATTGTTTTAAAATTTAAAAAATACATGCTGCTTCTAATTTTCCAGAAGCATATAAATTCTTTCCATTGATTCAACTACAGTATTTTACAAGATATAAAATTAGTTAATGTAGTCCTATTTATAGTACAATAAAAAAGCTTATTTGCATGTCAAAGCTTCAATGACTTCATTCTATAATGGGAACACTAACACAGATCTATAATCCTTTTGCAGTCTCTTCCCTTCATCCAAATCACACCCAGCAACTTCCAAATAAAAAGCAAAGACTTTGGTGTTGAGGAGGGGATTAACTCTCTCCTATTGTATTTTAGTTCCTATTTCTCCTTGCTTCAGATAAGTCAAAAAAAAAAAAAAAAGGACTGGAACAAATTCTAAGTGCACTTTTTTGAAGGTCTCTGGACTCATCTCTTTATTCATAAATTTAACAAGGAAGGGCAGATCTAACAGTCACCATTAACTCATTTAGGGAACAAGAATATTCCCTGAAAAAACAGGCAGCATATACCCAACTCTATTGCGTTCACTCTGGAAAAGGGGGGAGAAGGAAATGCACAGAGCATGACATTGAAATGAAATCTGCCTGCTTCCTTAATCTGGAAAAACAGACTTACCCTTTCACAAGATGGAAACAAGATCAGTCAAGCAGCCACTTTTTACATGAGACCGGGAAAGAGGGCAGAAGGACTGATTTTTCCACTGATATGCTCTTCTTTAAGAAGCAGCACACAAAAAAAAAATCCAATACATAAAAAGGTAAAGTTCACATACCTCCTTATAAAATTTTCTTAGGCATTGTTTATCTTAGTACCATTTACCCTCCCCAAAAAACACTCATTTCTTTTAACTTTCAATCATTATCATATGTTCAGTGTTTAAGATTTTTTTATTGCAGCCCTCTAAGTTGTTCTCACAGGATTTGGTGCTGCAGCTGAGGTATCACTCACATCAAACACAGCAAAATAATTATTTTCCATGATTACAGATTGAAGTCCTCTAACATTTACCTTTTTGGAATGACATCACATTGCAATACACTGCAAACAAATGAGTCAAGCAACCCCCAGGCCTTTTCTGCAGGGATGATACCTAGCCACTTACTCTGTTTTACTATAGGCTAGTATTTATTTCTTCCTTCCCAAGTGTAGTTCTTTGCACCTGTTGACTTTTTCCCTTCCCAACTTACTATGATCAGCACATATACTAATTCTCTCGTTTAAATTACTTTCAGCCCTACCCAGCTTCATTTGACAAAGGAGTAACAGCTCCCACTGTTTATTTCATTAATAGGTTTAAGGTACACTCTGAATGCAACTTACAAGAGCAAATACATTGAGTAAGGTAGAAACAACTTGGGGGAGATGATTGGTAGGCAAAGACAAGATATTCTCATGAAAAACAAACAGATGTGTATTTTCTATAATGTAAAGAAAACGTGGGTGACATTCAGACAGTGCTCTTCAGAGCAAGGAATGACTATTGTTAATACAATAGGGGATACAAGGGAAGTTTTCACTTTTAATGTTACTAGAATAAAACCAAGCATTCTTCATCAGGATGTATAACTTGAGTCTTCATTGTAAGCACACACTAAGAATTTATTCAAATTCTTAATATGAAAGGTGTCCATTTATAAAACATTTAGGGAGTGTAAACTTAAAAGCAGACTCTTGAGATTGCAACTTGAAGGACTGGGGTAGGTATTTTAAACCCATGTGATAAAAGAATGCTTTAAAGCAGCTAGGCTGCCAACAGTTTCTTTGGTAGAAGGGGTGGGAGGGGGACCTGCAAAGGCACTATTAGAGAACAGCAAGAAATTCAGACAAAGCAAAAATAACAAGGGATGAAAGAAAGATGAAAGTGAGTTCTGTAAAAGTCTGCCATGCTATTTAAGCTTAAAACTCTGTACTGTTTTTGTTGTCTGGAAGACAGACTTAAATCGGTATACGAGTTATACTTCTTAAACCCTGGTAAACACGCTTTGAAAGAAACATGCTTTCTTGTTTGCTTTTCATGCGTTTAATACGGAAAAAGCCTTCTTCCATCACAGAGTCAGCAGTAGAAACTGGACAACAGAGTTAAGACTATAGCCACATAGAAACAAACTGCTGAGTGTGGGGAGCTGTGCCTTCTTTCACATTCATTCATCAGACTTATTCAAGCTGGTTTTTTCTAGTTATATTTAAATGCTTCAGGGCCCTCTTTCCAATCTGAAAGGTTTTGCTGCATGCAGCTTAGAAGAGATGTTCCTCCAGCACTGCAGCACCCCTGCAAAGTCTGGGAGCTGTGGCCAACCTACTTCCTCTTTTAAGCATGTGCACACACTAATTTTAACACTGTCATAAAAAAACCTGTATACACCAGACTTCAAGCTGAACCAGAACTAAAGATCGCCTTTTGCTCAGCGAGGGGATCAAAACAAAGCAGTCAAACATAAGGTAGGAAACAAAAAGAACTGTTAATTTGTCACACTTGACTGATTATTCTAAAGCAAAATAAGCATTTAGAAGTTATAGCAAAACAGCAGAATTTTATCTCTTACCTCTCTGACTTCATGGAGTTGACCAGAACGCTGGCTCTTTGCTCTTCGAGCAGCTGCAGGTGATTTGTGATGTGTGATGGTTACAACAGTTGGCCCACTTTGATTCATATGTTTCTGGCCACTGGGAGATGCAGAATTAACTGTCCCAGGCAGCAGCAGAGATGAGCTTCTACTTCGCGAGGATGAAATGCTCTAGAACAAGCAATGGGATGTTGATATTAGTACCTTTACACAAGTAAATAATTTACAATTCAGGCTAAAGATTTGCGCTGTCCTATTTTCCTCACAAACCTAAATCTGGATGTGTAACTGTGCTCAGTACTGATTTATTCCTTCTGAACCATCTGCATTGCTCAGCAGGAATCTTCTTGGAAATATTGTGGCTACCGCCTTTGTTTCTTGGATTGTCTGAAATTGGCCTTCACAAAAATCTTCACAAACTCTTACATATTAACATGCTGCTAAGTTCTTACAACCATACTTTTTAGGAAAGATTAGGAAGGATTTTGCAGAGTAGTAACAATGCCAACACAAATATTTTTTATGAAGCCATTGACCTGTAATTCACCAAACTGGTGTGAACAGCAAGGAAGAAAAAAATAATCTTAATGCTTTCGCCTGATGAACTTCTGAAACAGTGCAGTGCTGTTTTCAACATTAGAGGAGCTGCAATTTTGGCAAGGCCAATCCACACACCAATTAAACATTAACATTTAAAACAAAACATGGCTTAAACAGTCAACATGTTTTGGAGTAAGCTTGAGATAAACCCTAAATACAAAAAAAGGTCAGAAATAAATCTCCAACAGTATCTGCAGTGTGAATACTCTTAACATACAACCTATAAAATCAGTCTGAACATTCAAGAACTTTCTCTGTTCTTATCTAACCGTTTGTTAGTGTTACCATCTTGGTTTGTTTTCTGCAGCCCTCAAACCTGAGTTTTCCTGGAGGTCTTTAGGACAGCAATTCTCAGTCAAGCTCAGGTGTGTGCTAGAGCACCATGGGACATCGTATATAAAAGTACAATATAAAAAAGCTTTTCCCTTCTATTTGAACTGTTGATTGCATCTGTAAGGTTAAAACCGAAACAGAGTAACTCTTACCTCATGAAACACAAACCACTTCAGAGAGTGGCGTTTAGTAGCACTTTAAGAAAGTGAGGTAAATATACAGCCCTATGGGTGAAAAACCATTTCACCTCTCCTGCACAAGTAATGATGGCAGCCTTCAGTATTGCTGACAGTTACTGTCAACGTGGGGTACTACTCTTGCGTCTGCTGGCAAGTGCACAAAAATAATACCTGGGTACAATCTCTCTCCTTATTCCTTACAGGTCAAACTTTGCAATTCTGTGGTAATTTCATTAAAAGACTTTAAATCCAAGGTGGACAGGTTCCAACTAGCACTGGAATTAAAGTCAGGCATCATGTTACCACTACACTGACTGTAAATGACAAGGCAGATTATCTGGCACTGCCAAGAAGGAAGAGTGAAGTAAGTTATATGATCCCTCTGCCACCCCCACACAAAACTAAACTTCAGACTTTTTGAGGCATTTGAAGGTTTAAAAAATGTGTTATTAAATTCCCCAGCGTGCAAAGAGCTGCTATAATCATAGAAATAAGCATTATTCCATTGGTCTTGACTTACATTTGCAAACACTTCCAAGAATGATGGTCTGACCCTGTTTTTGCAACGAATATATTCTTTACTACCATGACTAATAAGATTATAATAATAAGCATCTGTAGAATCAGACATTCAAGAAATATCCATCCTGGCTGCTAATTCACAATTGCATTAAAACTGGATTTGACTCTAAGGCAAAAAAAAAAAGCATGGGGGAATAGAATTTGTCACAAGGGCACAGAAGGCTGCCAGGTTTTTAATTCATCTTCCATTTAAAAGAGCATTGCTTAGACATAACTACAATTAAAATAAGAGCCAGAGGAAAAGGTGTTTGGGAGAAGGAAGGGGATGAGGGAAACTGGGTGCGATTGAATTTCCTTTTTTAAATAGAAGTTTCACAGAAAAAGGCTATCCCTAGTATTTAATAGCAAAATATACTTACTGATGTTTCTTTTTTAAATTGACTAGCATCAGAATTCTTCTAAACTAAATTTAGGGTGCAGAGAAAGAAGAACAAAAGTTCATTTTTTTTTCAGCATAAGATCAACTTATCTTCCAGTTTAATAAAAGTTGTTTTTTTAGAATGAAATCTTCTGAGAATCACTGACATTCTAGTATCATGCGATCACAATATTAAAAATGCATCTGCTACCTTCATATAACTAAACTGATCCTAAAACTCAGACAAACAGCAGCAATGAAAAACAGTGACTTTAGCCATTAGTTTTGCTTGAAAGAAAACAACGTTCTGTGAGAAGTGAAGTTCTATTATGTTTTGATTTTTTTTTGGGGGGGGGGGGGATAAATTAGATCTGTAAATAACAAAAGTAACATAAAACAAATATAGAAATATCCATGCACTGTTTCAATACAGAATCAGGAAGGAATTCTAGGAGAAAGTTAGCTCTCAGAAAAAACAGCTGCCAAAATAATCTCATTTAACCTGCACACTTTGAGAGATATGTTCATAAATTGAAATGCACATATATTCTAAATTAATACCTATATCATTGATATTATTTGGCAATTCAATGCTATTTCTCCTCAAGACAGTGTTTCAAACTGCAGTGAACTATCTGCAGCTGACCCATGGACCACAACAGACACCTTGACTGCAGCTCACAACTCACATTTTCTTTCATCATGTCACCTAACATGATACGCCTTTCACCAAACCCCACTTATGCTTGGGAGTCATAAATTTGATAGTGAACTATTAGTACAAAAGCTGCTAGTCAGCTGTGTTTTTTTTAATTGGCTTTGTATCACAAATAAGTAATGGACACATTTCCAAGAAACAGATATGCCCATCATTTTAGGAGTCTCTTAATCCAGATTTTTTTCCTGCAAGATTTGCTCTAGTTCATATCACAACTCACTGGGCTACATCAACTACACTCCTAGACTGTGACTTGAGGCAGAATAAACAGTCCGTGGGACCACAGTGCATTGAAGATGGCTTTCCATTAAGTTTTGCAAAGACGTGTGGCAGCTCACAGCAACTGTTGTTGTTGGACAGTCATTTAGGGCACGGAATTTGGGAATCAGTGGAGCAGGAGGAAAAAAAAAAAAAATCAGGAAGAACAGCCCAACTATAGTTTCAGTAGTGCGTGGTGCTCAAGAAGGCTGTCCTGCTACAGGGACACTAGGTAACTCCAAATCTCTACGTATAGAAGTTCACAGCCTGGCAAGGGCTGACCATATCACACTGCCTGGCGTGCCTGACATTCAGCTGCATGCCTTGCCCTGCAATAGTGCTATGTGATTTCTAGGGTGAGATCACCTCTGCCGGTGAGCCTCTCCTAGAGTCTTCTCCTTCCCCTCTCAGCACAAGATAGTTATCAATCCTACGCAGCTCACCAAGTCAGGAAGATTGGCAATCTTGAACTACCACATACAGCCACAGTCTGTGCCAAATATCAGAGCCAAATACATTGGTTTCAACTGCTCCTACAGGTCTATAAGCAAGTTTTCCTCACCTCTCATTTTCTGTCCCTTTATACCCTTCATCTATCTAGTGACCCAACGTTTCCGATCAACGTGCCAGAAAACTGCACCAGCCCACGACACAAATCCTCTAGCATCTAACTTGAGATTAGATTCTTTAGAGAACCTCTATAACATACAAACCCTAAATGAGCTCAGCACCAGGACCTCTGGCTACCCACGAAGCTACCCCTAGGCAAGGCCCCATGATAAAGGTAAAAAATTCCTACTTACAACTTGCAAAAGCAGTCACACACAAAATGCAAGTGAATGTCTGCAGGAGGCGGTTTCTACAACCACTCAAAACCTTTTGAAGTGGGGCTCCACTCCTCAATGCCACAGAGAACAACAGCAGAGCACTGTGCCTGCTCCGTCCAAGGAGACAGAGGCGGCAGCTATTTCTTCTAACAGCTTCTTCCTGCCACTACCAGAAGAGGCCTCTCCAGGAACTACACACTCAGTCCCTTATGCACTTTCGAATTTTACAACACATTGTCAACACCTACATCCCAGCCAAATACTTGACTCCTCTTTTGCAGAACTTCTTCAGATTAAACACTGGGAATGACAAGCATCTCTTTTGCACTGATACACAGCTGTGCAAAAATAAAAAATTTCCAATTCTGTTAAAATGTTAAAACCTATGTGATATTTACCACAGCTAAAAGCACTCTAATTACACATCATACTACAACAGTCATTAAAGTCACGCTCCAGGAAATCGAAGCAATGACAGTAACTGATGGATCTTTATTCCTAATCCTTTGCTCTTCCCCCTAGCGCTGCTGGTATGACTGATCTGCCCCTCTAACTATTATCATATCTCATTTTCCTTGGTCCTACTGCTTTCTGGTTTGCAAATAAATAAATAAAAAGATAGTGAAAAGTCTGATGAAAGGAAGACATAAGCTCTTCAACAATTAGTAATGCATGGTGCCAACAATGAGTCAAGAAATCCACAGGCTGAAGCATCCCAAAAGGGTTACAAATATTCTTTCCTGAGGCTACACTTTACCATTGCTCCAACAGTTTGCCTGCTAATAAAATGAAATTAATAAAAGAATAATAAAGAAGCTAATAAAAGATTAATTTGTAACTTGTGTTCATCTTGGTTTTATGACCTAAAGCTAGCTAAAGTACGCTTAGCTAACACAGATTTGGGTTAAGATTTTTATTTTAGTAGACTGTCCATCTCCAAGATAAAAAAGCAGTATAATGAATGCTTCCATTTGGATATCAAAAATCCTAACAATTAAAATAATGTAATTGTAGAACAGTAAGTTCCAACTATACTAATGTTTTCATGACTCATTCTCCCTGGAGATTGCCCTTCCTGCTCACAAAGAAGCTGAATTGTTTTTCACCATTTACCAGAAGCAAACAGTTATGTTTATTTTGGAAAGTAAATGCAATGTTCCAGAGATCAATAAACTAATTTCTGAAGTGAACTGTCGTATCTGTTTATGGCTGATAATCATCATTTTCACAGGCACTGTGCCACAGATGTTTTCTACAGAATAATAAATACTGAAATGTCATTCCTTTACTCCTCTGCATATATATAGCACAGAACC